TTCTTACTATATATATATATATATAGGAAAACACAACAAAACGCCTATAAGTGAAGTTCTATAGTACTTCACCTATGGCTTTATCACCGTTCAAAGTTTATCATATGGTCATCGATGTTTGATAATGTTTTAATTTTAATATTTTTTTACAAATCATAATAATCTGAAATTTTGTAGGTGTGTGTGCCTTAGTGAGATGCACATGAATAAAATATAAAACATATAATTTGAATGATAAAAATTACGTAAAATACCCCTATAAAGTTTCAGGGGTAATTTTATCATTTTATTTTATGATTATTATTTTTTTAATATTTTATTTTGGTGCGACTTGGTCATATGTACACACGCCCCAAATTTTAAATAAATCCGATTAATACAATAATTATAAAAATTCAAATATTACCGAACAACTGTGACCGTGTAATGAACTTTGGATAGTGATGAGGTATAGGTGAAGTAATATAGAACTTCACCTATAGGCGTTTATTATATGTTTCCATATATATATATATATATATATATACTTTTTATTTTGAGGGTTGTTAACTATAGATGACCCCTATATATGCGCGTGCGCACACACACACACACACACACAAAGAAGCAGACATGTTTCCCTTCTGTTATAGTTTTCATGTTGGTCTTTCAAAATCTTTTGAAGTCTAAATCATGGTTCACATTGTTTTGGCCCAAAACAATAACCATCTCAATCACCATAGGTTTTTGGGTGAGGTTATTTCCATGCATTTTTGGGTAAGGTTATTGTCCAATGAAAAACAATTGTTTCTTGTCTTTGAAGGCCTCAGATATATTGCTGAAATTTCGTATTACTTTTAATTATGCTCATTTTCATAGATGACTGAAGTATGAGTAACAAATCTAACTGATGGGTCCAGTCTCTCTAAAACAGCTGTTATAGTCCAGTGACTACAATTGCTTTCTCAAAATCCATGTTGAAATGGACAATCCAGTAAAAGATTATGAAATGGATTATCTAGGTCAGCCATTGAGGTAGCAGTCAAGATGGAGCAAGTTTTAGTGCTTCAAATCCTTTTTCCTTTTTATGTCTCTTTTGTTCCAGATCCACGAGGTCAAGAGGATGGATTTGCAAAGTTTTGGGTCTTCAATCCATCTCAAGATGGATTTTGGAGGTGCAAATGTAGTCCGTGAACTACAATGTAGGTGTTACTGAAACAGTTTTTCTAAGTAATCTATAAATCTCTATTCTTAAAGAAGTTTTATCGAACAACTGTGAGACCAGCTTTGCTTTATGGGATGGAATATTGAGTAGTCAAGAAACAACGTACTCCTAGGATGTGTAGCTGAGATGAGGATGTTGAAATGAGATGAGTAGCGAGACACGAAGGGATATAATTCAAAATGAATACATTCGGGAGAATTTATGTATGGTTCCAATTGGTAATAAGATAAGAGAAAGTAGACTTAAGTGGGCTGGTCATGTGCAGCGCAAACCTAATACAACACTTGTTAGGAGGTACGAGTTGGTTCAAGTGGAAGTCTCAAAAAGGACAAAGGGTTGACTGAAAAAGACATAGTTGAAAGTAGTGAGAAAAAAATGGCAACTTATGACCTCACTGAAGGTATAACCCTTGATAGAGCATAATGGTGGACCACGATTGGTGTAGTCAGCTACAAATAGTTGGAAAAAGACTCTAATAATGATGATGATAATGATGAATCTATAAATCTCTATTCACATCAATGATAATGGTTAACAGTAACCAAAAAAAAAAGTAATATTGAAAGGGAAAGTGTCCTGCGATCTGATTGGCCATGTGAATGGTTAGGCCATTGGAAGGTCTTCTCCGTCCAATGAAATGATGGATGTCAAACATCACTGAGGTCATGTCCTAATCTGGTGGGTCCCACTCCCTCTCCATTACCTTTCTTAATTTCATTGAGGGGTGATGACTCCAGTTGTGTATGCTTTTAATTCTTCTTGGATTATAGTATGCATACTCATTGTTGTAATACTGAACTCATTCACTATATTTTGGAACAACCATGCAGCCTTCAGATTTTTATAAAGTCGCCCTTAAAACCTGAATTTTATCCTGTGTTTAGTGGGGTCTCTTTTGAGTATTGATGTAATTCCCTTTTTGACTTTACAATGTTTCTAATGTCCTCAATTTCAATCAAACCAACCAAGATGAATTTCATTCTCTTGGACATTTCATTTGAGTATTTTTGTGGCATGTGACTTCATCACTGTCACTTCAATCATATTTTCGGCCAATGTTGTTTTTCTATTCTATTGACTTTATGTTTTTACCATTAGTTCCTCATGTAAAACCTACTGCTGAGTCAGGAATTGAAGGAAGATTAAGCCACTGCTGGACATTTGGCCTTGGTGATAACGGTCAACTTGGGCATGGAACCACCAAGAGTACATCTATACCTGAAACTCTGACTGGATTACCTCAAGATGCATTGCTCAAATCTCTTGATTGTGGATTATTTCACACTTGTGTGGTTAGTGAAACTGGTGATGTGTTTATATGGGGCATGGAGAGAGGTCTTGGCCTATGCCCAAATGCCTGTTTTACTGGGAATGATGCGGGGGATGCATTAACTCCTGTAAGGATGATTTGTGAGGAAGATTATGGACCAAGATTTAGAGACCCGATTCAATTAGCTTGTGGTGCTGCTCATACTGTTCTTGTAGCGAATGGTGGCTCTGAGATTTGGACTTGGGGTCGTGGAACCAGTGGCATTCTTGGAACAGGTAACACAGGTGATAGTTTTCTTCCTTGTAGGGTGATATGGCCAGAACCTGGTGCGGACCTCGAGGAAAAAGAAAAGGAAAAAGAGAAAAAGGAGATCGAACCTCCTGAAGGGGACTCTAAGGAGAAAGAGAGAAATGAGACCGTTGAAAAGGTTTCTGATGAATTGGAGGGTGATAAAATAAAGGAATTGGAGAAAAAGTTGGCAATGGCATTGGATGAAGTGCAGCTTCTTCGTTCAAAGTTAAGTGTTATGGAGAGCTACATCAATTTGCTTCATTTCTCAATTTTTGGGGAGAGCATAGAGAAGGGTGATGTGCTCTCGACCTTGCAGAATGTGGGAATATTCGATGTCGAGAGGGAGTGGGAGAAGATGCTTGAGTCGGCCAGCCATCGCAAGCTTGGTCAGCTTGAGGCATTCTACCGTACCATGCTAGCTGGAGTGAAGGACAAGCTGATTAAGAGAAGGATACAAGAGTTGCTTAGGGATTGCTTCCATTCTCTCTCTACCGGAGGCCATATTCCATCCAGGGATGATTCAGTTTTCAGATAAGTCTTAGGCTCTATGAAGCTCTCTCTCTCTCTCTCTACAAACACGCACATGTATATGTGCTCTCTCTCTCTCTCTACATGCATGCACGTATACACGTGTGGTCTCCTATAGACCCTCGAGTTCGTTTTTGAACCTGTATGTGCCATCACCTAAGTTTATGGTTTTCCCGAATATTCAAGGCAATAGGTTTGTATCACACAGTTTGAATGACTACCCATTTTGTATCATTTGTATTTCATGTTTTTGTGTCCATTAAAAGCATTAGCACTAATTATAGTAACATTTATAACCAAGAAAAGAAAATCCTTATTAAAGCATATAAACTTTTGATGTTAAGCTCCTTACAGAGGCTGCCTTTATCTCTAAAGAGAAGCAAATGCATCATCATTGTGTCATTGCCAACTGTCAACTGTGGACTTTTCCTGACCTCTTTGATAGTACTTTTCCTTTGTGAAGCTCTGATAATTCTTTTGTGTAAATCATGTTATGTTATGGAAAGATATGTTATGGAAAGATGTAAGAATGGTTAACGTTCCAACTTCAAACCTTTTTAGTCTTTTGTTTCTTTCTTTTTTTCCACTTATTTGCATTGAAATCAATGTTGTCAGATTCGCTTCGGAGGTTTTTCGGTTTGGTGAGAAAAACGACGCAATTCGATATTTCGGCTGATTTGGAAGAAGACTTCGTATATATATTTTTAATTTAATAGAAATAAATTAGATATAAATAAAAAATAAAAAATTTGAAAAAAACAAATTACTTTTGTATAGATATTTCTTTATTTCGGCTGAAGCTTATGTCAAATCGGACTGAAGCTCACCGAAGTGGCCCGAGGCTTTCCAAAAGTGGCAATACCAGGCTTTACCTTGCATCGATTTAGGCTTTACTTTGCTTTGGTCTAGGCCTAAAATTAGAAGGCTTCGCCACTACATCTGCAGCCAAGCAAAATGAAATCTCTTTCGAAGGCTTAGCCACTTCATCTGAAGCCAAGCAAAATGAAATCTCTCTCTCTGCATAGAGAACACTTGGCATTCAACCTGTATTAAGAGTGTAGGTTATCGTGGCAGGGAGCTGCTTCTATTTAAATTTGAAAATAGTTGATTTGGGTATAAATGTGTGGGGGTTGAGTGATCATTTCCTACTTCATTGGAGTGCTATTATATAAGGAAAAAGTTTCATCTCTTCCTTATTATTAAAGAGTTTATTTTTTAAAAAATAATTTTCACGGATGTAATTATTCTATTTTACTTTCATTATCTCCAACTTCCATATCAATGCATTTTTCATGAAATTGAACCATGAGTTTAAATCATATACTTAGGTATGATTTGAATGACTCGAATAATAACTTAGAAACACATGATTTCCCTATGTTAACATTTTTCACATGTTTCAGCTAATCCTTTATCTCTATAGGTAGAAAACATTCTAGTCTCTACCAAAAGCCAGAAGGGCTTGGAGAATGTAAAATAAAAGTTAGATGCCAAAACCAAACGTAGCAATAATATATAAAATATATTGGAAAAAACGAAGTGATAATACATGCTCGGAGGTTGGAGGAGACTGTCATGGTAAATATCTTAAATTAATAGTTTTTTATTCTATGATTTATGGTACTACTAAATATGGTAACTATCTTAAATTAATAGTTTTTTATTCTATGATTTATTTGATTAGGTACAAGTAAATATACGGGTCAAGGCGCAATTTTTTTTAATAACTTACTAAACTACGTTTTTGTTTTTAAAGTTTTTATGGGTGTTTTTTTTTTGGGTAATTGAGTAGGTGGGACAGGCCGATATCCGTTTTTTCAATAGATTGGGGAGTTACATTTTGAAGGTGTTTTTTCAATAGATTGGGGAGTTACATTTTGAAAGTGTTTTTTCAATAGATTGGGGAGTTACATTTTGAAGGTGTGTTTTTTCAATAGATTGGGGAGTTACATTTTGAAGGTGTTAATTGGGGGTATCAGCGGTAGAAGGTGTTTTTTTTGGGACATTACATTTTGAAGGTGTTAATTGGGGGTGTCAATGGTAGGAATGGATACCTGTTGTTCAATAGATTGGGGAGTTACATTTTGAAGGTGTTAATTGGGGGTATGCTAATGGATACCCATTTTTGGGGAGTTACATTTTGAAGGTGTTAAATTGGAGGTGTCAGCAAATACCCATTTTTTCAATAGATTGGGGAGTTACATTTTGATGGTGTTAAGAGTTACATTTTGAAGGTGTTAAATTGAGGGGTGTCAGTGGTGGTAGAAATGGATACTCATTTTTTCAATAGATTGGGGAGTTACATTTTGAGGGGAATTACATTTTGAAAGGTGTTAATTGGGGGTGTCAGTGGTAGGAATTGGGGCGTGTTAGAGTTACATTTTGAAGGTTTTAAATTGGGGGGTGTTTGTGATGGTAGAAATCGATACCCATTTTTTCAATAGATTGGGGAGTTACACATTTTGAGGGGAATTACATTTTGAAAGGTGTTAATTGGGGGTGTCAGTGGTAGGAATTGGGGAATTATATTTTGAAGGTGTTAATTGGGGGTGTCAATGGTAGGAATTGGGAAGTTACATTTTGAAAGTGTTGTGTTAATTAGGGGTGTCAGTGGTAGGAATTGGGGAGTTACATTTTGAAGGTGTTAATTGGGCATGTCTGTAGGTGTTGTGTTAATTGGAGGTGTTAGCGGTAGGAATTGGGTAGTTACATTTTGAAGGTGTTAAATTGGGGGTGTCAGCGGTGGTAGGAATGGATACCCGTTTTTCAATAGATTGGGGAATTACATTTTGAAGGTATTAATTAGGAATGGATACTACGATGTGGTAACGGAATGTGGGGATGCTACCACCCCGATCCCAACCCCTTTCCTATTGGTGTTTTAGTTTGTATAATTAGTTTTTATAATTTTAAGGTTCACAAATAGCATTCCTACTAATATTTTTCAAGTAGGAGCATAAAATTCAATCATTTATACTTATTTCCATTTTACTAATAAGAATCAAACTGGTGAGAATTTTTTTTTTTTAAAAAAAAAAGTATTCCATTATCTTTATTTTCATTTTATGAATAAAGAAAAAAGATCTTGTTAACCCATGAGCTGATGGAATAATATAAGCCCAATGGTCCATATTGAATCTAGGCCAATCTGACAGTTACAACTATATTTCATATGAAAAATGATCTTATAAGACCCTCCCCCACCCATGTGTATAGGTCCCCAAATGATCACCATTAAATTTGACACGGATCTATAGAAAAGTCAAGTCCTACACTCATGTGATAACTTTTCTAGAGATCCGTACCAACTTTAATGGTGATCATTTGGGATCCTATACACATGGGTGGGGGAGGGTCTTATAGGATCATTACTCATTTCATATTTCAATTTTAATATCGTTTTAAAAATCCAAATCACATGAAATTTAGGTTGTCCACTCTTTTTATCAAGGTGTATCTACCAAAAATATTAAAAAATAATTTGAAAAAATAAATTGACCAAAATACCCTTTAAAATTTTAAGGATATTTTGATATATTTAATATTTGTGAATTATTTTTTCATATTTTTATTGGATTCGCCTATTTTTAAAGAATAGACTATCTAAATTTCAAATGATTTAGATTTGTAAAAAAAATAATTAAAATTCAAATATGAAATACAATCATGACAATTGCATCGGCTCAGATTCAATCTGGGCCATTGAGCATTTACTTTAGCTGTCAGCTGACGGTGAGACCTCATATTCTCCATTTATATCGACCTCATATTCTCCATTTATATATATTTTTTCTTTAGAGAGTTTCATTCCATTATCTTTATTTCCATTTTGCTAATAATGATATAAATGGGTAAGGTTTCTTTTGGCTATTTTCCTATCTAGTTTCATTAGCAGCATGACATTTATTTTTTTGTGGTATTGTGCTTCCTATAATTAAATAATTTTGTATTGGTATATATTTCTTGTTCACTTATTTATTCATGTATATTTCTCTATTGTGCGCTACCTATGATTCATTTTATCCCATTTGTGCACTTATGAACATTTTATGTACACATGTGCACTTTTATCTTTTTGGCTGTGGTATTGTGCTTCCTATAATTAAATAAATTTGTATAGGTATATATTTCTTGTTCACTTATGTATTTATGTATATTTCTCTGTTGTGCGCTACCTATGATTCATTTTATCCCATTTGTGCACTTATGAACATTTTATGTACACATGTGCACTTTTCTCTATTATGTGCTACCTATGATTCGTTTTTGGTTAGGGCATTGTGCTTCTTAGAATTATGTAATTTTAAGTTGGATGCAGTTTGTATAGAGCCTAGGCTCTAAACAATCAAATTAGAGCCTACTTTCAAATAGTGTAGAGAAATGTTGTTTTAATAGTGAAAATCTTTGTGATAGCCTTAAAATATATTTTCATCTTTATTTATGAAGTTTAAAGTTTCAAAAATAGTGTGGATCGACAGATCTATGAAAACTTGAAAATCTTGAAAATTGACGGTCCAAAAATGTATTACAAAATACACTATTTCCAAAACTTGAAATCCATTTTTTTCTCACGTCCATGCATCTCGATGTTTAGATGATCAATTAGAGGATATTTGGGCATCAAAACAACATCTAGTGAAGTTTTTGAGGTAGGCTCTAATTGCCTCGGCTCTATATAAACTTTTCCTTTTAAGTTTGTGTATATTTATGTGTTAACTTTTATATTTACCTGAAGTTCATTTATCCCAGGTGTATTTATGTAAATTATTTATGTTACTTTTGTAGTTGTGTGTATTTCTCTATTTCTTTGTAAGTGTATTTATATAAATTATTTTCATTACTTATGTATTTATGTGTATTTCTCTTTTTTTTTTTTTCATAGAAATACATAAGACATGCTTGTACAAATATGATCCAAATATGAGGGATCAAAACTCTCAAATACGGTTATAAGAGAAGGAATTGATCCACCTATCTTGATCGAGGAGAACAGGAACATGCCATTGGACAAAGATTCCGAAATCGCCGATTCTAAGGAAGGAATCGATCCACGTATCCTGATCGGTAGAACAGGAAGACGCCATTCTTTAGGAAGATTATGAAATCGCATACAATTGATCGTAGGAAGATTTTGAAATCGCATACAATTGGTCGTAGTTGAGTATTGAAATTGGTTGAAGATCACGAGGCGCGTCGAATAAGAACACTATTTTTTGAATTACTTTTAATTGTTTGTTGGATCCATCAAATCTATCCTTAAGGTTTTGAATTAATTTTAATTATTGGTTAGATCCATCAAATCTATCGTTAAGGGAAGAATGAATTAAGGAATTTTAGTCTGTCTGTTCTATTTCATTATATCTTTCTATTTCATTATATCCTTTATAAAATCGTTTCATTTT